TGATTTACACCATGTTAAAATAGCAATTTTAACATCCTTGAGGGACTCAAATCATGTTCCTTTTCAATGCTCATTGAATTTTGGGAATACAAATAAGTCTGAAGAGGCAAGATCAGAGCTCTAGGGTGGATGGCATAAAGGTTCCCAACAAAATTCTCTTAGGACAGCCCTTGCTGTTCTCAAAGAATGAGCAAATCCATTGTTGTGATGGGAAAAAAAGAAAAAAATCCTTGCTGTAACGGTTTCTGTATATTTTTCACCAATGCAGTTTTACATTAAAAAAATGTTTTTTATTGTGTATCGAGTGAAGGTTAACAGACAAAATAATCAGTTTTACGTTCAACCAATCATAAGGTTTGTTTCATCTAAATGATTACAATCCCCTTCTTGTAACAACAGTTACCCTATTTCCTCCCTGTGGCTTCTCTTTTACATCTTATTTTTATACAAATCAACAAAGCAAAAATATTTGATATAAACACAGAAAGCAAAAAATATACATTCATTTAAATCTTCAAAGGGTACATTTTGCAAGCCACCCTCCTGTCCCGAGGTACACGGTCTTTCTCAGTCCATGGGCTTAGAGTTTGCAGCTGCTTTCTCTCTCCATGCCATCGCCTTGGCCACTGTCTCTGCTGTCAGTGCTTTTTCTAGGTAGGATCTCATGCTCCACTCATGCTCTTCCTTCTTGATGGTCTTGGGATCCTGTTCCTGAAATGAAAAATTAACTACTCCCCCCTTTTAGTTACACATCTTCTACAATTACAGTTATAACAATTACAATCAATCCTGCTAACAGTTACAATTGTATCACAAAATCCTATCACCATCATCCCTCATAGTCTTTCACCAGATTCATCTGGAAAAGAGGAAAACTATTCAGTGAGGATTCTACCTTACTCCCCTTGTTTTGAAACTAAGCACACTAATGAAAGCTTGCAAGCCAGCCACTTTGTGCTTTTTATTGTTGTTGTTAAGTGCCATCAAGTCGGTTCCGACCCATAGCGACCCTGTACAGGGTTTCCGAGGGTGTAAATCTTTACGGGAGTAGAAAGCCTCATCTTTCTCCCGCAGAGTGGCTGGTAGTTTCGAACCGCTGACCTTAAGGTTCACAGCCCGATTTGTAACCACTACGCTACCAGAGCTCCTTTTTGATAGCCAAAGTCTCAACTGCCCATCCCTATTGAACCAGTGCACTGATTAAGAGAAAACAAACTTGATCCTTGATATAAAGAATCCTTCCATTTTGGTTGGAATTTTGAGCAACTGCATCCATAAGCAAGATGCAGTTCATCAAATTGTAGCAATTATGCTTGCTTACAATACCAAACTTCTTTAGCTTAATCTGGTAGAGTTCTGGTCAGCTAGTCATCCCAGCTATGTCAAATGGGTATTATCTGCAAGTTTGAGAGTAGGGTATGATCTGCAAGTTTGGGAGATCCCGCCCCCCCCCACCCCCCTGCACTTCAGACCAACTGGCCACTTCATTCTCAGCTGTAGCCCCCAGTGGCTAGATCAGTGTTAGTGGGCTTGAGTTCACACATCTCCCTAGACTTCAGACAAGCCAGCCTGTCCTCTTTTCTCTCTCATCTCAAGGTCAATGGGTATCAATGGAACATGGCCAAGCTCAGACAATGTTTTCTTGCTGTATTTCCCCCAGTTCCACTCACAAATAGACTAGGGTCACTATAACCGTCTGAGCTGACCTCTCTGGCTTGAGAGCACAGCAGCTCCCCTCTGAAGTCAGTGTTTTGATCGAGTCTTCCTCTTGAGATCGTATTGGTAAATCCAAGACTCATCCCTGGTTACAATTCACTCCAAAAACTTTTCTTCGTTAGCTTTGATCTTACTTAAAAAACTAATGGAACGATCAGCTCTTTGAGTTAGTTGATTTTTGTGTAATGATTTGAGTACCTACAAAGCTGAAAGTTTGTTGAGGCTAAGACGCGTGCTTAAAATTGAAAATGTGAGATCCTAAGTTCAGTAGCTAGAGTTTTCTTCTTCCCCAGCAGTATCTTCATTCCTCTAGGCTGACTCATCTCAGTTCTTCCGAACCTTCCTTAAATTGCTTAATCCATCTAAAAACTGTGTTTTATGTACTGTAAACTTGTAAAGCTTCAAAGATTTGTGAAGATGTCCACTTGAGTTTTGTTAAAATTTTGCTACTAGCCCTGACCTCAAAATCAGTTTTTCCAAAAAGTATCCTTTTCTTGAAGGCACCTCATGAGACTAAGACAAGTGTATTACTGAGAAAACTTGTGTGCAATCATGCATTCATCAGAGACATGTTTAAATATGTTTTATTTGGATCAAACCTGTGTATGTATGAACTGAAACCCTAGTAGCAATACTTTTTGACTTACCCTTGTACTACTTTTTTCCTTATTACATTTTCCTGTCTTGTTCACGTTTTATTTTAATAGCATCCATTCAAAATATTTGGAGACAACAGGAAAGCTAAGTACATTCAAGTAAGACTATTTTTTGTACTTTATACACAAAATACTACCCATAGTTCCAATTTGTATATCCCAAACATTTATTAATTATTGTCTTGTTGGTCTAAGAGGAAGGCAAGATTCAAAGCATTGTCTCACAGTAATTTTAGGGAGCAAAGCACCTTTTAAAATAGCATGGAGAGCTACCAATCAGCTGACAAGGTTGCCATGGGCTAAGTGTGCTTAAGTGGTTTACTTTCCCTCATGACAGACAGCCTTAGGGTCCTGGTGTGGTGCTGTCGGATAAGCGAGGTCCGTGTGAACCACAAATTTGGCAGTTCAGACTCACTAGTAGCTCCTTGGAAACCCTGTACAGGGTTGCTATGGGTCGGAACTGACTCGAGGTCACTTTACAGCATGACATCCTTAGAGGTACAAGGGCCTCTACTGCTCGGGGGGGCTACAAAATCTATGTTCTGGTTGAATAGTACAAATTGATTGCCTGTTGTCACATTTACCCCAGGCTTTTTAGTTTAGCCTTCAGTGTTTTAACTATTGGTTGCCAACATTTAAGAATCCAGGCATCTCACACAAAAATCCAACTTTTGGGTTTATTTTGGGAAAACAATAATATTGACTATCTCAAAACAGTAAACCCACATTCTTGAGGGAAACAAACTCCAGAGCTGAAGAGCAGCTGCTACTTTTAATTCCATTATGGGTATTTCAAGTTGCCAAATTCTAAGCTGACTTTTCTTGTTTCCCATCAAAGCTTATTTTGTTCTGTCCCAAGTCCCTCATTAGTTTTTCAATGTAAATAACTAGGCAACCCAATAAATTATGAGTACTTTTATATGTGCATTCTGGAGATAGCATCTTAACAGAAAGGGTTTGCTGCTGGTGAGAGTTAAGGTCTCCGTGGATCATCATCTGGATGGCAAATGTACTATGTTCCCTGCTATCCTGATCTTTAGCTACATACACCTTACTGTCCTGAAAGACAAAATAAATCGGCTCTCTGGTTGAACAATATACGCTGTGAAATATACTGAAACCGTACTTTTACAGATGACCCTCATTCCATAGGGCTCAAAGCCACTGAGGGTTTTTCTGACTCCGTTTCGTTTCCTCAGACTTCAGGATATCCGGCCTGACGGCATTTCCCCTCACCTGCTTACTGTCCATTTTGCACTGGGCAATAGCGTCCAAGGAGCGCGCGCGCATCCAGAATGAGCTCATTCCTTAGGGGCGTTTCCAGAAGGCCCCGCTTGGCCGCGCGCGCACCAAGCGTAATCGGCCTGACGCTACCAACGGCCCCCGCGGCTGGGCGTGGCGTGTCTGCCCACTGGGACTGCTTTTCTGGAAGCTTTGTCCCCACTTTGTTGTCTGAGAATTAGCCTTCGTCTGGCCTTTCTGAGGAAGATACACGCGCAGAGTTAGTCGCACAGGGCCAAGAGCCTCTAGTGGGTGGGGAGACCTCGCTTAAGCATAACAGAACCCAGCCTCGCAGACCACAAACACGGGCTCTTCTTCAGTAAATATATACAGCCTCGGAAACCCTGTAACAGGGTCGCTATGAGTCGGAACCGACTCCACGGCACATAACAACAACAACAGAGGAGATGCACATAAGATCCGCGCTCCTTATCCGCGGCTATGATATGGTAGGAGCATCCGCAGGGTAGTGAGGCGAGTTAGGAAGGCCTTTCGCCACGATCACTGTCGAGCTTTTAGCTCCTGGGACCTCGCCGGAGGCTGAAGGCCAATCATATTGTAGCTAGGTCTTGCGATAAGACGGCAGAAAGTGTGGATTGGTCACCGTAACAAGTATCGGTCTCCCTCCCTTTCCTTTTTTGCCCCCATTCCAGTTCTAAGCATCAAGCCAATAAGAAGACGCTTTATAGACGTCCTCGCTTAGTGTTCTTCATTTCCCCACCTTGCGAGGGAAGAAAAGTTCTGATTGGCTAGACTTTCCTCGGAAGCCCCCGTCCCTTCTCCAATCACTGAGTGAAGTACACGCCCCAGCGGAGTTTCTCAGCCAATTACAAAGCAGCCACGGCGCCCAGCCTTAATGTTTCACTAGGAACTATGGGCTTCATCGTCCTCAACTTTTCTTGCTTTTTCATGAGAGCCGGCGACTCTGATTGGCTACTATTTCCATAGTCGAATTTCTCCTCCAGCCAGCCGTAGAACGAGGCGAATCTACCTTCTCCCCGTTCGGCAATCTTCGGTATTTTCCGCTCCTTGGGCGTGGATTTCCAGTGTCGCTCTCCAATTGGTTCCTCAGGTTGATCGGATTTTTCCGGCAGAAGCCTCAAACAAACGACATCCGTGATTGGAGCTGCTCGGCTTCGGCTCGCAGCCGAAGAGGGCGGGCGCGGGGCTCGGCCGGCGATTCCCAGACGCCTGTTACGCGGGCGGCAGGGCGCTGGGCGGTGTAAGACTGGGTGGGGGAGGAAGGAGGCGGAGGACGAGTAGGAGGGGGGAGGAGGAGTGGGGACGAGCTAGGCGGCTGCGCAGACGGTTCTCCTCACACACAGCAGCCCCCGACCCGGGCGAATGCGGGCTTGTGCTGCCGCCGCCGCCGCCGCCGCCGCCGCCGCCCGGGCCGAGTGACAAAGGAAGGAAGGAAGGAAGGAAGCGAGGAGGAGCCGGCCCCGCAGCCACTGACAGTGCTCCGGGCTGGGGGCACAGCGTGGACACTTCCTGAGCCGGCACCGAGCAGAGGCGAGGGGCAGGAGGGCGGCCGCTCTGGTGCGGTGGACGGGGGAGGGGGCCCCGAGGGACGGAAGCGGTTGCCGGGTTCCCATGTCCCCAGCGTATGGGGAGCAGTCGAGGAGCCGCTGCCTGGGGTCTGAAGGGAGCTGCCTCCGCCACCGCCGCCGCCATGGCCGCTGGATCCAGCCGCCGCCTGCAGCTGCTCCTGGCGCAATGAGGAGAGCAGCCGCCGCCACCGCCCGCGTCTGACTCGCGACTCCGCCGCCCTCCAGTTCACCGAGCCCTGGTCGTCAGCCCGCGGGATCCCGTCGCCGCCGCCGCCGGAGCCGCAGCGTTTCCCGTCGCATCTCCGAGCCACCCCTCCCTCTCCCTCCCTCCTTCCCATCCCCCTTCTCTTCAAGCGTGAGACTCGTGATCCTTCCGCCGCTTCCCTTCTTCATTGACTCGGAAAAAAAATCCCCGAGGAAAAGATAATATTCAAAGAACTTATTTTCAATCAAGTATTTGACCCTGTTTCACGTGATATAAATATTTTTTAGGAGTCTTCCTTTTTTTTCTTCCTTCTCCTCTTCCTCCCTGAAAGGGAGGGGGTAAGAACTGTATTTTGTCCCCAGCCCCAAATATCTCAATGTTCAATATCCGTACTGATCTGTCTTGACGGAGAAATACATCGATCGGTTTTTTTTTTTTAAATAGCTGTACAAAAGGAGTGAAAAACCAAGAGGACGAAGTCTTTTTCTTTTTCTTGTGAAGAAGTTAATGCTGCATTTATCATTAACCTAATACCCTAACATAAAACAAAAGGAAGAAAAGGAGGAAGGAAGGAAAAGGTGATTCGGGAAGAGAGTGATCATGTCAGGGCGGCCCAGAACCACCTCCTTTGCAGAGAGCTGCAAGCCAGTGCAGCAGCCTTCAGCTTTTGGCAGCATGAAAGTTAGCAGTGAGTATTGATTTCATTTTACACCCCTTCGCCATCTCGTCCTGAAAACGAAAAAACCTTGAAATAATCAGAATATGAAAATAATCAGACCTCATGCCTAAGGGCAACCTGGGTAATGGAAAAGGGCAAAAGCTGTCTTCAGTCAAGGGTGAGGCAGCTCCCTCTTTTCTCCCAAACCCCTCCCCCGGTTTCATTAACCTTGAATTGACAGAATATGATTTTTCTTTGGATCATTTGATTGGCGACATTTCTTATACCTGTCTTGCTGTTGGTAGTTTCGCCTGAATGTTTCCACGTTCAAATAGGGATGGAAGTGTTTACTTGCTCATCTTTTTGAATAAAGATGAAGGGCAAGACTTGATTCCTAAACCATTGTGCACATTTGCTGTGCCTTCTCTGTTGTATATTTCAGTTAGCTCAGCTCTCTGGGATCCGTATGGTTTTGTATATTTAATGGAGACACTAAATGTCACAACCTCCTAATATGCCTTACTTGCTTGTGTGGCTATATCAAATATTTGTTCTCCAGCCCCGGGTGAACTTGCTCTGTGACCAGCAGTAATATTTGGAGGCGAGCAGAGGCTCCTGTTTTTGACGGGCCCGGGGGATCCCACCGATGCCTGCAGCAGGAGGGACCATCCCTACTAGCATTGTCTTTAGTCCGATAGGGGCTGAGTGTGTTCTATATTTCGCCGTTTTGACACATTTCCAATTTACCACTGTATAATTTATGTTGCATCAAAAGGCAACTTGGAAGTAAGTTCAAGTTCTGATTAAGCTTTGTAATATCACATTCCCAAGTACTAAGGTAAATACATGTTAACTGTCACTGCCTCATTGTCATCTAAGTTCAGTTTCCCAAAATTGAATTGCGTTCATTACTTGTTAAGTGTTCCAGAGAGTCCCTGTTTAAAAATACTCTTACAGGGGTTTCCGGTCACATTTAGATGATTTGGATTTAGTTAGAAGAATTCTGATTTAGTCATTTCCTTTGCAGAATGCTGTGGTCTTGGATCTCAGAGTTGTCAGATTGGGTGTATTCTTGTACCTGATTTGTGCTTAAAACTTTGTTCTTGAAGTGATTGGTATACTAAGTATCCACTGTGTAATGTATCGGTTTGCGGAGCTGCTTATTATATCTTTGAGAAGGTGATTAATGATATTTTATTTGAACATACTTCCAGTATTTGACAGAAGTGTGTGTATTGTTTCCTGTTCCTGGAGAAAAGGGGAATGGACAGACTGTTTTGTTGTTTAGAAGAACTAAAGAACTGAGATATTAAAAGTGTGTGTTGATAGGTAAAATTGATTATATCATTAAGCATCATAAAATGATCAGTTTTAATTAAATTCAAGAATATAAAATCATAGGCCAAGGTAAATGTGAAATGGGAAATTATTTTTGAAAGTTAAAATACCCCCCCCCCCATCCCTACCCCCACCCAGTGACCAGCTACTGCAGAAGAGGAGTGCTGATTATGTATCTTTCAGGAAAGGGTCATTTGAAAGGAATATTTAAGAATTCTGGGGTAATTTTCAGCTATGATGAAGCAAATCTTATAATAGCTACTTCAGAGCCTCTTGTGGTACTGGAGTGTTTGTATGTTTTACATCTTGATAATATAGTTTAAAGCCACTTGAGATCAATTTTAGGTAATTAATTCATTAGATCTATTTCACAGAGCAAAATAAGAATAGCTTTATAGTGCTAAATTTTTGGGCTTTTCATTTTGTTTCCAGGATTTTCTTTGAAAATGATTTTTTCATAGTATGACTGAGGATGGAGTAGCTGGTATAAATACGTAGATTAAAATATTTGACTTTCTGTTACCATATAGATCAGCTAAACATTAAAAATTTTGGAATTTAGCGCCTATTACATGTTTTTGATAACCTTGACTCTAGGGACATTTTAGAAGAAAGGGGTGTTAAGCATTTATTTGAATCCTCCATACTAAGGAACCTCTGTTCCAAAAAAACTCTTTATAGTTCTTTGGCTTGAGAACTTGTGGGACAAAATTTGAAAATGAATAGCATGACTGCAAGACAGTAAAATACAAATTGAATCCTTTGTTCTGAAGAACAAAGAGTTAAGGGGAGAGGCTGATGGGTTGGAGAGGGAAGACACCCTGTACAAAGTGCTGGTTTAAGACAGGTGTTAAAGGAGGCAGTACTTAAATTGATAGAGAAGGTTGAGGGATTGTAGGTAGAAGAGAGTGATTTTTATATGGGAGGTAGTAAGCAAGTTAACAAATCTGAATTAAAGAGGGCTTGGCGCTGTGGGCTAACATGCTGGGCTGCAAAGTCGGTTTGAACCGCAAGGTTGGCGGTTCAAGCACACCAGCTGCTCCTTGAAACCCTGTATAGGGTTGCTATGGGTTGGAAGTGACTCGAAGGCACTTAATAACAAATAGTAAGATAAAAAGGATTGATATTTGAGAAATATGGGACTGTCTGTTGATGGAAGGCAGATGGGACCTGTAAGAGTTTGGTTGAGGTTTAAGAGATGATCCGTAATCATTGTAGGGTGCTTGTGCAAGATGTTTGAAGATGATTTGGGCAGCTGTGTTGGTGAATTAAAGTGGAGAAATAGAGTCCTTTTAGGGAGATAATTAGGATTCCTGGTGTGATGCTGCACGATAGGCACTGGACTGAAAGGTCTGCCGTTCAAACCCACTAGCTGCTTCTTGGAAGCCCTATACAAGATTGCTGTTAGTTGTAAATAACTTGAAAGCATTTTAGCAACAACCACAACAATGTGAATGATGAGAGAATAATGTAAAATGTGAAAATAGAGTCACCTTTTCCATCTAAAATTAAGGAGACAATATGAATGAAGAACTGGCAGATTTTGGAATGGGTTGAAAGGGAATATTTGTGGAGTCAGGAGTTAAAAATAAACTCTGATGTTATTGGTCTGGAAGACTTGAATGTTGAGTTTTATTGTTAGTTGTAATGGGAAAGTTGGGAAAGTGCTGAGATGAGAGGGTAGATGACTGGTTTTGTTTTTTAATATTCAGTAAGTTCTCTTGAACTTTAGCAGAAAGTTCCTGGCAGTGATATTTCAACTTTCCAATCAATTCATTGGCGTTTCTAAATTATCTCTACCTAAAAATGTTGGCTTAATATTTGGGAACCTAAGGATTTTTATTTTAATGCTTTCCATTGAAATTCTGAAAATGAAAATAACTTTTACTTAAAAGTCACAAACTTGAAACCTAGTCATAATCATTTCATGGAATTTATTTAAAGACAATGAAAGTAATTTTTATATTAAACTGTGAGTTAAATTTTTCAGATAGCTGATATAGCCTTTAATGTGATCTTTAGTACATGCTTAGAACTTGTTTTTCCTAATTATTGTTAGATAAACTTTGCATTTAAAATAGTTATAATATTAATCATGTTAGTCTTAGTTTGTGAAGGCTTCAGCAGAAATTAAAAAGTTGATTCTATAATATGTAGTTTTTGTGTCCCCCCATTGCATTACGTATTTTATACCAAATTTAAGTCAGTGTATTTGAAAATTTTTTTTTAATTGTGGTGAAATCAAATCCCCCCCCCCATCTTGGTTCAGGTGTTATTAAATAAATGTTAATATAGTTGCATTTCCTTATGCAGAATCACTGATGTTTTGTTACCAATAGAGAATGTAAGGGATTGTGTTTATGATGGTCCAGCTTAAAATATTAGTAGTAAACTTTTTTGGTATACTGTTGGAGAATATTTAACTAAATGCTTATGTTTAATACAAGATTTAGAAAGAGGAAATAAGTCAATGAGTATCACTTAAGTGGTTTCCTCATGTTATGTTTTTTAGATAAATTTTTTCCTTAATGAAATTAGTAAGAAATATTAGTTGCATATTATTCTACAGTTTTAAGTAGAGTGGTTAAAATCAAAGAGTAAGAAGCATCTTATAGTCTTATTTTCCTGGGAAGTTTATTCTCTTTGTGACTCTATAAAGATTATTAAAATTTAGCCAAACTTCATTTTTATCCATGTGAATGGGAGCTCAATTGTAAAACTCAATACCAAAACCTGATTTTAATCGAGTTTTCATTTCTTTTGGCACTGTGGCATTCATATAAGAATTACATCCTCTTGTTGCATGCATCAGTCAAGTACTGATTGTGAAATGACCTTAATGCATGGCACTATGAAAGAACATCAAGGAAACTCAGGAGATTCACCAATTCATTTATGGCTGATTGAGAACTGCACTTAGTAAATCAGCTGACATCTCATTTTTGTTACACAGTCAAGTTGAAAGGCAGGATTTACACCCTTTGCTACTTATAGTGTAGTATCTTATACTGAACTTGAGTTGCAGGTGTGTGATGTTAACTTGGAGAAACAGTAAGGTTAGGGAAGCCAGAGAGTTGTCTTTTTGTTTGTAAGCAGGAGCAGCAGTTCTGAGACTTGGGAGGCTCTATTTTTGTGTGTACTTTACCCATAGAGAAGGCTTTGAAACATGTATTTGCTGACCCTGGAGCCATAGATCTATACCTTTTAATAAGAACTCTGCAAGGTTGTATGAGGCAGAGATGGGGATGGGCAGGATGTGAGACTGTGCTGCCTCTTGGGATGCTCCACCCTACAATGGAGAATGGAGGGACAGAGCACGTGGGTGTGACCCGAATGTTTGCAGGTACTAACAGGACCAACCTGCTCCCCCAGAGATTGTTCTGTTAAGAACATAATCACCATGAGTCAATGAATTTGCCCCAGTGTTTAGTGTTATTTTCTAGCTGATTTCCACCCCCCACCCCCCCAGCCCCCAATTGAAAGGAGAGTCTTCTGTGATTTCAAGGGTAAAAACATTTTCTTGGTTCACTGTTTTAAAAATAGAGGTGGCAGCTTTTACTTCTATCTTGGGTTAGCTTCTTTGGTTATTCAAACTCTCTTTGAAAATTGTTGAGTGAGACATAGTAACGCATATTTATATAAAAACCTTCATGAATAGAGTAACAAGGGAAAACTGGCAGTAGAGGTAATGA